TGAGGGGCAGGAGGATCGTGCAGGGAACGCCCTGGAGGGTGGCCCAGAGCTCGAGTCCAGCAGGGAGCACAGAGCTGACCCTGCAGGCACCTCCTTCCCTGCTCAGCCCATCCTCCCCATGAAGAGCCCTGGGCAGTGCCTGCAGGACCATTTGGGGATGGAGAACGGCCAGGAGCTCACATGGGCTGTGGTGCCAGCCCAAACCCAGAAGACACTTTGGGATTTGCAGGGAGGGAGTTGTCCCTCCCTCCCTCCAGCTGTGGGACAGGGATGTTCCCGTGACTGGGGATGCAGCGTGTGCCAGGTGCTTCCCTGCACCCAGTGCCACCACATGGAGACGTGCCTGTGCAGTGGCCCCACTGGATGTGTGTCCCCTTGTCATCCATCCCCAGCTGCCACCCTCAAGGCCACAGCGCGCGGCGCTGTCCCTGTGTGCGGACATGTGGCTGGAGGGACAGCACGGCTCCAAGTGACGCACAGGCAGCAGGTCAGGGATGCAGCCGGGGTTATTTCCTTCCTCTGTGGATTTTGGGGAGCTGTTTTCCTGCTGCTGTGCCCGTGGCAGCTGGACTGTGGGACCGAGGGTTGCACACCCGTGACACTGCCAGCCCTGCCTCCCGCTGCTTGTCCCCGGCCGTCCTGGGGCCGCATCCCCTTCAGTGTTCGTAATAAACCGAGACTGGTGACAGCTGGGACCTGTGCTTTGTGTTGGTGGGTGCCGAGTGCTGTGACCCAGGGGACAGACACCTGTGCAAGCGTGGGCTCTGGGTTTGGGACCGGCCCAGCCCTGGGGACTGGTGCTGGAGGCTGTGCTGTCCCATGAGGCTCTGACTGAGCCCTGCCCCAGCTGCAGGAGCTTCTTGGAGAATTTTACTATGAAAAAAATGTGGGGATGAGATTTATCCCTTCGTCTGCTGACTGCTAGAAATAAAAGAGAAACTTCCCTTTCTCTAAAACTTAAGACTTCATTAGCTCAGACAGAAATATACAGACAGTGGGTGAGCCCTGCCGGTACAGACCAAGGCTGTATTGCTCTCCTCCCATCCCTGCCAGTCCTGCATTCCTCCAAAGCAGCAGCACAAGGTCAAATGTTTCCTGGGAAGTGCAGGCCTGCTCTGGGCCCTCACCTCCCTCCCACACAGTCACAGCTTGGTGCCAGGCTCGAGGTTTCCCCTGGCATTGGTGTTTGCCCGTGGCCACACACCGGTGCCAGCAGAAAGATCTCCGGAGCTTGTTGGGATCCTTTTCTCAAACCTGGTCCTTAGGGCAAGATCCTGGGATCCACCAGAAGTCCTCGATCCGCCACAGCCTTTTGCTGCTACCAGAAGGTCCAGGGGGGCTGCATCATCTCGTAGGTGGGAATGCTGGTGACGTTGACAGGAATGGAGATGACGGCCCAGGGGAGCCCGTGCTGCTCCAGGGAGCGCCTGATCATGTACCTGGAGGGATGCAGGGGTGACAGGTGTTCCCAGGGCTGGGGGGGTGCAGCCAGACCCGAGCACAAACCACAACCCAGCTCAAACTCTGCCCAGTAACCAGCACTGAATCCATGCAAAGCCCGGCAGGAGCCACGCTGACCACTGGGAGCTCCCTGTTGTGAGGGACAGAGCTGTCACTCGCCGTTCCCGGGAGCTGTCCCAGCCCTGGGGAGGCAGCCCCAGCACGTACCCGTCCCTGCCCAGCAGGAAGAGCGCGGGGATGTCGGCCGTGCGCCGGGAGCTGTCCTGGATCATCTCGATGTAGAAGCTGTCGTTGTCGTAGGCGTTGTCGGCGATGATGACGGCCCGCCCGCCGTGCTCCTGGATCACTCGCGTCTTGGACAGGAACGAGCAGCCCCTGCGGCACACAGCGACCAACACTGACCAACCTGTGCTGGCCGCGTGCCAGAGCGTGCCTGGAGACACCCAAACTAGGGATTGTCTCCCCGATTCCACACCTCCTCCAAACCCTGCTCCTCTGAGTCTCTATCTTAGGCACAAGCCACCCACACTCCTAAAAAAATAGGAAATAAAATCTTGGAATGGTTTGGGTTGGAAGAAACCTTAAAGTTCATCCAGTTCCACCCCCTGCCATTGCAGGGACACCTTCCACCAACCCAGGGTGCTCCAAGCCCAGTCCAGCCTGGCCTTCGACACCTCCAGGGACACGAGGCATCCAGAATTTCTTTGGGCAACCTGTACCAGGGTCTCACCACTCTCACAGAGAAGAGTTCTTTCCCACTGTCTAATCTAAACCTACTCTTTTTCAGTCTGAACCTAGACAGGGTTTTTTTTTCTACCTTACCACAGGCTGAAAAATACAAGATGCAACTCTCCAGGGCAGGAACACCTTCACGTTTCCCTGGTTTATGTCTGTGGGGAATGCCACAGGAAGAATCCGGAGGTGATGGGGAGATGTGGCCAGGGCTCCCCTCCTGCCCAGCAGGGTCCCCCAGCAGCTCCCACCATGCCAGACCTACCCCCTCTCCACCAAGGCGATCTGGTCCTGGATGAAGACCCCATTGTTGAGCTCTCCGCAGGCCTCCGGAGGATCCGCCGGGACCAGGTGGATCTGCTCGTACCTTGTGTTCTCCGAGGAGACAGGCAGGGGTGAGCAGGGGGAACTGGAGCTGCTCCCCCTCCCCACCCTGCTCGTCCCTCTGGGGGACATTTGGGCTCCCAGCAACAGGGACACCAGGAGCCAGCCCTCTGGAATCCTGCTGAGGCCGAGGACGCTTGTGGAAGAGCAAGGAGCTCCATTTTAACCAAAACTCCAAATCACCGAGTCCCAGCAAGGAGCAATATCAGGATGGCGGGACCCAAAGTGACAAATTCAGTTTTTAATACTTACAAACACGCCACCAAAATCCTTGGCTGGGGTGGCAGTGAAGATGTAGCGGATGTCTCCGGGGCTCAGCACTTGGAAGTACAAATATTCATGGATGCGTAAACCTGGGGGTGAAAGGACAGAGCTGAGAGGCAAGGGAAACTAAAGGCAAAATCCCTGAAAAAAGGGGAAAAATCTCAGTTATCACTCCAGAAGCGTGGCAGAAAGAGCAGGCCCTTCAGCAATGCCAAATCCTGGCTGGGCCCAGGACCCAAAAGGTTTTGGGGTGTTCCAAGGGCAGATGTGGCAGTTCCCAGGGGCTGAGACGGGATGGGGACGGGAAAAGCACCGGGACTGGGGTGCTCAAGGGGAAGGGAAAACGCTGCTGGACCATGGAGGGGAGAGGGGTGATAGCACCCAGCCTGAGGGGAGCAGACGGGAAACACACCAGGACCACAAGGGAAAATGCACTTGGATTGGGATGCAGCAGGAAATGCAATGGAGCTGGGGCAGAGATGGGAAATGGATCACAGGGCCCAGAGGGGAAATCCAAGGGGCTCAGATGCAGCAAGAGGAAATGCTGCTGGGCTGGGGGGCTGCGTGGGGAACCGCACCGAGAGAACCGCACCGAGAGAACCGCACCGAGAGAACCGCACCGAGAGAACCGCACCGAGAGAACCGCACCGAGAGAACCGCACCGAGAGAACCGCACCGAGAGAACCGCACCGAGAGAACCGCACCGAGAGAACCGCACCGAGAGAACCGCACCGAGAGAACCGCACCGAGAGAACCGCACCGAGAGAACCGCACCGAGAGAACCGCACCGAGAGAACCGCACCGAGAGAACCGCACCGAGAGAACCGCACCGAGAGAACCGCACCGAGAGAACCGCACCGAGAGAACCGCACCGAGAGAACCGCACCGAGAGAACCGCACCGAGAGAACCGCACCGAGAGAACCGCACCGAGAGAACCGCACCGAGAGAACCGCACCGAGAGAACCGCACCGAGAGAACCGCACCGAGAGAACCGCACCGAGAGAACCGCACCGAGAGAACCGCACCGAGAGAACCGCACCGAGAGAACCGCACCGAGAGAACCGCACCGAGAGAACCGCACCGAGAGAACCGCACCGAGAGAACCGCACCGAGAGAACCGCACCGAGAGAACCGCACCGAGAGAACCGCACCGAGAGAACCGCACCGAGAGAACCGCACCGAGAGAACCGCACCGAGAGAACCGCACCGAGAGAACCGCACCGAGAGAACCGCACCGAGAGAACCGCACCGAGAGAACCGCACCGAGAGAACCGCACCGAGAGAACCGCACCGAGAGAACCGCACCGAGAGAACCGCACCGAGAGAACCGCACCGAGAGAACCGCACCGAGAGAACCGCACCGAGAGAACCGCACCGATGGAACCGCACCGAGGGAACCGCACCGAGGGAACCGCACCGATGGAACCGCACCGAGAGAACCGCACCGAGAGAACCGCACCGAGAGAACCGCACCGAGAGAACCGCACCAGGACCGGGATGCAGCAGGGGAAATGCACCCACGTTGGGATGCAGGAAAGAAAATGCATCCGGATTGAGGTGTAGGAGGGGAAATGCACCCGGATCGGGATGCGGGAGGAGAAACGCAATTAGATGGGGGCGCACCGAGGGGAAATGCCCCCGTACTGCGCTACGGCTTCAGGAGATGAAATGCAACGGGGCCGGGATGGGAAATACACCGGGACAGAGACACAGGAGAGAACAGCAACGGGGCCGCGGTGCCGGGAAGGGAAATACACCGGCATCACGGTGCGCCGAGCGGGGAGGCGGCCGGCCCGTGATGCTTGGGGTGTGTGCGGGGTGCGGGTGCGGGATCCGGCTCGTTGCGGCGCGGGCCCGGCCGCTGTCCCCGCTCCGTCCCTCCCTCCGCCCCTCACTCACCGCGGGCCGGGCAGCAGCAGAGCCAGAGCCAGAGCCAGAGCAGCATGGCTGCGCCACGCCCCGCCCACCGCCCCGCCCCGCGCTTCCCATTGGCGGATGGGCTCACCGCTCTCCTTCCTATTGGTCTGCGCCACCATCAATCAAGCGCGAGCCGGCGCGGGCAGCTCGCTGTCGCCGCGGTGTCCGCTGCCAAAAAACGCTCCATTACAATTGCGCCCTCTTCCCTCCCTGCCAAATAGTGATCCATCGCGGCCCGCCCCGGGAAGGTTCTGGGCGTGCGCGGTGCATTGTGGGGGGCCGGGAGCCAGCAGCCGCCGCGATGATGGTGAGTGACCCCGCGCCGCCATCCATCCATCCGCTACCATCCATCCATCCATCCGCCGCCATCCGCCGCCATCCGCCGCCATCCGCCGCCATCCGCCGCCATCCCCGCCTCCCGCCCCGCCGCACGGCCCGCGGGGCCCCGCCCGCCCCCCGGGCCCGGCTGTGGAGCGGTCGCGGCGGGCCGGGCTCGGGGATGGACAGCGCGGGCCTGGCGGTACCCGGGCTGTGGCGGGCGGGCCGGTGCCGGGCTGGAAGGGATGGGAGCGGCGGCCCGGAGCCCCGGAGCTGCCCCCGGCCCGGAGCTGCCCCCGGCCCCGGAGCTGCCCCCGGCCCGGAGCTGCCCCCGGCCCCGCGGTGATGCGGGAGCTGGATGTGTCTCCAGCCTGACTTTCCCCGGGGAGAAACCGTTCCTTTTCTCTTGAGGTTCCTGCTCTGCTGGGTGTGGAGGGAAGATGTACGTTTTCTTCCACAAAATCTTCCCAGGTTTCGGGGATCACAGAACAGTCAGGGCTGGAGATGATTCAGTTCAACCCCCTGCCCAGGCAGGGGCAGCTGGAGCGGGTGACACGGGGATATCCCGGTGGGTTTGGGGTGTCGCCAGAGGGGAACACTCCAGGCTGTCCTGTGCAGCTGTCCCAGGGCTCTGTCACCCTCCCTGGAAAGAAGTTCTTACGTTGAGATGGAACTTTTTGGTTTAATTTATGTCCTGTTACTGGGCACCAACAAAAAGAGTCTGGCACCAACCTCCTGGCACTGCCTTGGAGAGATTTGTATGGATTGATGGGATCCCCTCTCAGCCTTCCCTTCTGCCGCCTGACCAGGCCCAGCTCCTGCAGTCTCCTCATGGGATAAGTGCTCCAGACCCCAAAGATGTTCCTTGTGCCCGTCACTGAGCCCTCTCCAGTAGCTCCTTTTCCTGTTCTCGTGCCCCCCCAGTGCCACAAGCACAGTTTGTACAATAATTCTGTGCCAGCTGTGTGTCTGCTGGCAGCTGTTCCGAACTGGTGCATCCCAAGTTTGGCTGTGTTTGGGCTTTGTCTGAGCTCTGCCTGTCAGATGGTTGCAGCATTCATGGGATGGTTTGGGTTGAAAGGACCTTAAAACCCACCCAGTGCCTCTGTCCGTGCCATGGGCAGGGACACCTCCCATTATCCCAGATTGCTCCAAGCTTCAGTGTCCACCCTGCCCTTGGATGCTCCCAGGGATGGAGCAGCCAGAGCTTCTCTGATGCTTCCAGCACCCAGATTTGGTTCTTGACTGTCTCTGTAACTCTGCATGTTCTGTCTCCTGCAGGCCAGCATCAGATCAGAGCCTGGCTGGGCAGGGCTGCCCCAAGGAGCTGCTGTTATTTTTGGGACAGTTAGTGGGAGCTGCCAGGGCTGCGGGAGGCGGCTGGCTTGTGTGGAGCACAGGAATTGGGAGCGTGTTTTTGCTCAGTTCTTGCTGTGTCTGTCGGGGAGTTTGTGTAGGGAGTTTGCTGCGGGTTGTTGCTCTTGGGATGCGAGCTGTGCTGTGCTTGTCCTGCAGCCAACACCGGTTATCCTGCTGAAGGAGGGCACGGACACCTCGCAGGGCATCCCGCAGCTGGTCAGCAACATCAACGCGTGCCAGGTGATCGCCGAGGCCGTGCGCACCACGCTGGGCCCGCGCGGCATGGACAAGCTCATCGTGGACGATCGGGGTACGGCGCCAGGCACAGGGCACTGCAGCAGCCACAGCCACGCTGGGCTCAGCCTCACAGCAGAGCCTCAGCTCTGCCTCTGTGTCCCTGGAAAGGCTGGTCCAGCCTGAGGGTCCCTGTGAGCTCCCTGGGGAGATGCAGAGTCAGTGGGGCTGGATGTGCCCAGTGTAGATCTGTGCAGGACGTGTCCCTGGAAAGCCCAGTCCAGCCTGAGGGTTCCTGTGAGCTCCCTGGGGAGATGCAGAGTCACTGGGGCTGGGTGTGCCCAGTGTAGGTCTGTGCAGGACGTGTCCCTGGAAAGCCCAGCCCAGCCTGAGGGTTCCCTACCTGCTCC